ATAGTTGGGAGGTTTCAACATAATAATGCATGCAAAGTGCCTGTCTGAGTACTTTACACTGAGAAGGTGCTTGGGAAATACTAGCTACCTGTGCTTATTTGGGAAATAGAGGCCCAATGCACGAATTCATGCAGCAGTGGGGTCCCTTGGCCTGGCCTGTGGGATCAGGCCAAAACCGGCTCTCTGACATCCCCCAAGAAGTCCCGGATTGTGAGAGGGTGCAGGCCAGGCAGAGGGTACCCCACTGGTACACGATCAGGGCCGGGGAGGGACACAGGAGGTTGGCCAGCCAGGGAGGGACCATAGGAGGGCTCCAGGGCATGTCCAGCCTGCCTCACTCAGTCCAGATCAGCAGGACCCTAGCAGCAAGCAACCTATCGGTCTGAGCGTCTACCTCCTGGAGGTCAGTACATGTCATAGCAATTGTTCAACCAGTTGACTGTCTGCCCTCTGGTGGTCAGTGCACGTCATAGAGAGCGGTTGAGTGACCTTAGCATATCATTAGCATATTACGCTTTGGTTGAATGGCTGACTGGACACATAGCATATTAGGCTTTTATTATCTAAGATTACTACCAGCCTCACTGACTTATTAGCTATTACCACCATCCTCAAGCCCTGTATGTCTGGCACTCCCCAGGAGGAGGGTGCAAAGGTGAAAACAGAGCGTGGGTCGTGATCTCAAGGGGTCTGACATTTCACTGGATGTCTGAATTCAGACTCCTCGCCCCTGCCCCTCTACCACTGGCACTGGGCCTTGACGGATGGGTCAGATTTGAGCACGTGGGGATGGAAGGGAGGAGAGGCCTTGTAGACAGGAAAGCCTGGGAACCGGGAGAGTGTGGAGCATGTCAACATTAAGAAACATCAAACCTGTAGAGAATTTTTATGAGTTTGTTTAAGCCAGTCACAGCATTTGCTGGGGAGCCAGATCTCAAATGCTCTGCAGATTAACAGTTTTGCAGCTTCTTTTGTGCACATGAATGTACATGGAGGTGAGAGAAAGCAACAAGGAGCTTGGGTTTAGATTATAGGACAGTTAGCAAGACTGTGTGCTCTCTTGAGGGTTAATACCCCCTTCCAGGGGTATTATAACTGGTTGAAATTAAAGCCAAAACTGGTTTGGCTTGGTTTATAGAACATCGGCCTGTGGACTGGAAAGTCCCAGGTTCGATTCGGGTCAAGAGCATGTACCTTGACTGCGGGCACATCCCCATTAGGGGGTGTGCAGGAGGCAGCTGATCAGTGTTTCTCTCTCATTGATGTTTCTAACTCTCCATCCCTCTTCCTTCCTCTCTATAAAAAAATCCCTAATAAAAAATATATATTTTAAAAAGTGTGTTTACCTAGCTGAAACTGGTTTGGTTTAGTGGATAGAGCATCAGCCTGCGGACTGAAAGGTCCCAGGTTCCTTTCCGGTCAAGGGCATGTACCTTGGTTGCGGGCACATTCGCAGTAGGGGGCGTGCAGGAGGCAGCTGATGGATGTTTCTAACTATCTCCCTTCCTCTCTATAAAAAAAAAAAAATCAATAAAATATATTTTAAAAATAAATAAATAAATAAATAAATAAATAAATAAATAAAAGTGTGTTTACCTAGATGCCCAACAATGGACAGGACTTGCTTAAAATCTTTCACTGAAGAAGTCACAAGTTTGGGGCATGACTACCCACCAGGACCTGTCCAGTTGGAAATGTATGATCAGATCACCCTGTGAGGCTACTTTCCATAGAACCCCCCTTTTTTCATCCACAGGTACGAATGGACACCTGCAAGTATTTTATTTTTCAAGTATCTCTTTTACTTATTTTTTAATATATTTTTATTGATTGCAGAGAGGAAAAGAGAGGGATAGAGAGCTGGAAACATCAATGATGAGAAAGAATCATTGATTGGTTGCTTTCTGCACCCCTCCCCCCACCACTGGGGATCAAGTCCGAAACCCTGGCATGAGCCCTTGACTGGAATCGAGCCCAGAACCCTTCAGTCTGTAAGGCCAACGCTCTATCTACTGAGCCAAACCAGCTAGGGCAAACTGCAAGAATTTTAGTTTGATTCCATGTGAGGGCCTCGTCTGGTTCAGCTCACACAAACTTTAGCTAAAACATAAGTACCTGCTATGCACGCACCCCTCTGAGGATTTTATATCCAGTACCTTATGGATCCTCAGTAAGTGAAAATGTCACTTTTGCCGTTCCCGTTGCAAAGGTGAGGAAGCTGAGGTTCAGAGAGGTCCAGCAGGCAGACCAAGAACATAATGCTAGGGGTGAATAGGGCAGAAATTCAAGTTCAGGGAGACAGGCGGCAGATCTGCGCCCCACACATCTTGCAGGAACTAGTTCCCAGGCAGTGAAACTAAAGCCAGCCCCAGCGGGCCGAAACTCCACCACAGGGAGCTGGCTCTCAGCCCCCTCGCTGGCTCCCTGCTTTCTCTCAGCCCCACCCTGCCACCCCCACTTCCTTTCCTGGCCCTGGGGCTCTGCCTCTTCCCCAAACCTGCTCTGCCACAATTTCTCCCAGGTCCCCACATCTGTAAAATGGGAATAAAAAGAGTGCCCGGTCTCAGAGGGGTGCTGTGAGGATCAGGGGAGAGGCCCAAGAGCTCAAGGCCTGGCGCACAGTAGGTCCTCATAAATATTAACGGCGACCAATTTATATTTTTTTTCTGTCTTTAAAATTTTACCACCACCATGTACGTGGTGTCTCTGAAATAGGCCGAGAGTGAGGGCATTATGCACATTTGATGGCTCGTCCAGGGTCACTCAGACAGAAAGAGTGGGTCTGAAATCTGGGCCTCCTGGCCATTGTTTGCTGGGAAGATGAGTGACTCATATAGTCAATATTGATTACCCACCTTCTGCATGCCAAATCAGGCCCTGGAGACTAAGGGGCATTCAGGAAGCCCTCCCACCCATCTTTTGAGGTTGAAAGTGCAAGAGACATTCTGGTAAAGGGGAGGCAGTCAAGGAAGGCTTCCTGGAGGAGGTGAGGTATAAGCTGGGCCGTGAAGGACCAGCAGAATATGTAAACTGTAAAGGGGTCTGTGTCCTGGAGATGGCAGAGATGTAAACACAGCTGCCACTTCTTTGAGGTTCCTCACGAACCAGTGTCTGTGCTGAGAGCTTTACAGGCATCTCTTCCTGAAATCTCCCCAGAGTCCTACAAAGTGGTTGTTATCGGGAATGAGAAAAGCGAGGCTCAGAGAGTTTACAAACCGTGTCTAGGGTCACACAGCTAGTTAAGGGATAGGGCTGGGGTTGAAACCCAAGGCTGTCTACTACAAAGTTGCTCTTTTTAAAAAAAAAAAAAAAATATATATATATATATATATATATATATATATTTTATTGATTTTTATAGAGAGGAAGGGAGAGAGATAGAAAGCAAGAAACGTCGATGAGAGAGAAACATCAATCAGCTGCCTATTGCACACCCCCTACCAGGGATGTGCCCACAACCAAGAAACATGCCCTTGACCGGAAATCGAATCTGGGACCTTTCAGTCCGCAGACCGACGCTCTACCACTGAGCCAAACACATTATTGCCACCTCAGCCTCACCATCTGAGGATGAGGACTAGGTACTCAGCGGAGGCCAGACTCTGAAGGGCTAAGAGATGCAGGCTCAGACACAGCACCTGGAATGTAGCAGCAGCTTCTAGCAGCACAGCCATTCACTGGCCAAGGTCACTTCTCTGAACCTCGGCATCTCTAACCTGGAGAGAAGAGGAACATAAATGTATTATCAACCAGGAAGGTTCTGAATGAGGGAGGGGGGCTCTTACAAAAGGATTCTTTCCGGGAAACCTGGAGATATTCAAATATTTACTGAGTGTTGGGCTGCGGGGAAGACAACTGTGAACAAGACAGCTCTGCACTCTGGACCCCCACCCACTCCCACCCATGCCTACAAGGGGCAGGGCAGGGCAGGGCAGGGCTTGGGAGAGTTGGGGAGGAACCTTTTACTGGAACAAACAAGTGCTCAGGAGCCGGCCTGTCCCAGATTAGACTGCTAGTTCTCCAATCAGGTGACCTGGGGCAAGCTACCCCACCTCTCAGTCTCTTCACCAGGAAGATCCTCATTCCTCTTCCCAGGATTGTTGGGTCAAACAAAATAAAACCACACAGGCCTGGCCGGTGTTGTTCAGTGGTTAGAGCACCAGCCTGCACACCCTAGGGTCGTACGTTCGATTCCAGTCAGGGGCACGTACCAGGGTTGCAGGGTGCAGGAGGCAACCACTAGGCAACCAGTCCACGTGTCTCCCCCCGCCCCCCCCCCCCAATTCCTCCCTCGCTCCTTTCCACTCTCTCTGAAAAGCAACGGAAAAAATATCCTTAGGTGAGGATTAACCAAAAAACAAATTAGTAATAATAATAATAATAATAATAATAAATACATGTAATTATCTAGCAGGCGCTCACTACGGTAGATGTTAATGTCCCCCTAGGAAGAAGTCTACCTGTTAGGCTCCCTCCCTCCCCTGCCTAGAAAGAGAACAGATTCCGGTTTTCAGTTTAGCGAGAAAAAGGACAGACATGCATACCTGCTAGCATGCCAATCAAAGGCCTCCGGCCGCCGAAACCGGTTTGGCTCAGTGGATAGAGCTTCGGCCTGCGGACTGAAAGGTCACGGGTTCAATTCCCATCAAGGGCATGTACCTTGGTTGCGGGCACATCCCCAGTAGGGGGTATGCAAGAGGCAGCTGATTGATGTTTCTAACTCTCTATCCCTCTCTCTTCCTCTCTGTAAAAAATCAATGAAATATATTTAAAAGTCCTCGGCATGGGGAATGAATGTACTGCTCTCTGGGCTCAGGTCAGGACTGTTCCGCCCCAACCCCAGGGGCCCGGGCGCCCCCCCGCCCCCCCCCGGCACCCCCCCCCCCCCGCAGCGCTCCACACCCCCGGCCGCTCCCTCTTTCCCCCGGGCCCGCCCTCCTGGCCTGGGCGGCGGGTGTGGCTGTCCCTTTAAGCAGCCAAACGCCAGCCGCAGTCGCCGTCCGGGGCGGTCCCTTCCGGGGGGCGGAGCCTATAAGTGTTGCTGCGGCCAACGGCGGCGCGGCATTTTCCGCGGGAGATCCGAATTTCGCGGCACGCCGTTTGGCGCTAAAAAAAAAAAAAAGAAGAAAAAAAAAAAGTGGCGGAGAAAGACGCGGGTGCTGCACAGCGAGGCCGGTGCAATCGGTCCCCTCCCCGTCCGAGCGTCCGAACGACCGAGCGCATCGCCGCTCCGTGGAGCCGGAGACCCCTCCCCGGAGGCAGCGGACCCCGGGCGCCGAGGCCCCCGGGGCGTGGGGACGAGCCGGTCGCGGCCGTCCTCGGGGCGGGGCAGCCCCTGGCGGTGCGGTCTCCGCGCCGGGATCCCTGGGCGCTGCTGCTCCCCGGGCCGCGGGCCAGGAGGGGAGGGTCCGGCCTCGCCCCGCGGGCGTCCCTTGGCGGCTGCCCCCGGCCCCGCTCCATGCCCCGGGCCGGCTGAGCCGCCGCAGGCTCCCGAGCGCGCCGGTGCCCGCGGGCGCGCCTGGGCAGGGGGCTCGGCGCTGGCCATGCTGCGAGGGCCCCGGGCGCCGGCCCCGGCCGCCGCGCTGCCCCTCCAGGGGCTGCCGGCCCTGAGCCCCACGGAGCTGTGGCCGCCCGGCCTGGGCAGCCCGCAGCTCTGCCCGCTCACCGCCACCTACTACACCACCTCGCTGTACGCGCAGACGGCGCCCCCCGCCGCGGTGCCCGGCACCTGCCTGGACGCCACCCCCCACGGACCCGAGGGCCCAGCTGTGCGATGCGTGCCGGCCGGCCGGCTGCCGGTAATTCTGGGGACCCCTCTTCCCCCTGTGCTTTCCGGGTGTGGGGAGGTGGGAGGGGCGCCTGGGAACCTGTTTGGGTGAAGCTGGTTGAGTCTGGGGAGGGAGAAGGGGAGCTTTCAGAGTCCAGAACCATCCAATGCCCCCCACCCCCACCCCCCCGCTACTGGAGAAGAGCCCTTCGTTTCCAGGCTCGGGGTGGGATAACCTCACCCCCTGGGATGGTGGAGGGGAATGAACACTGCACTGGGAGTGTGGACACCCAACCCACTACCCCAGCGCACCCTGTGACCTTGGGGAAGGCCAGGGAGCCAACGGTGCGTCATTCATTCATTCATTCATTCATTCTTCTTCATTCATTGTTTGGCCCAGAAACCAGTGCTGGGCACCTGCTGTTGTGCTGGCACAGAGCGGATGCTGTAGGGACTTTGAAGTGTGTGTGTGTGTGTGTGTGTGTGTGTGCGTGTGTGTGTGTGGCGGGGGCGGGGGGGTGGTGGTGGCGGCATTGGGGAGGGGTCTCAGAGGTTCAGTATGGCTTGGACAGAATCCAAATTTCCCATCCAGCCAACTCCTTCCCAGTTATGTACCCTGGGTCCTGCCCCAGGCCCAGCGTTCCCTCCCAGACAGCCAGCAGCAGGTGCAAGTTGGGGGCAGCTTGACTATTCCCTCCTCAAGCCTCCAAGCCTGCTGCCAGGGAGGGCCCCAGGTGAGGTGGCATTGGGCACAGGATGTGTTGTGTGGGAGCGGAATTCCTGGATGGAGTCCATGAGAATCTGATCAGCCATCGGGTGAGGGTGGAGTGGGAAAAGCCCGAGGGGACTGGGTTAGGGTTGGAGAGCCTGTTTTCTGATCTAACTGCCACCTCCTCGCTGTGGGCTTCGGTTTCATTTTCTGGGAAACGCCTGTGTGCTTACTCAGGTCACGTCCAGCTCCAGGCCCCGGGTTTGGGAAGCAGGCCCCAGGGCGCGGGTGCTGCAGGCTGGCTCAGGTGTGAGTGGTGAATCCGTTCAGGGTCAGGGGTCAGGCCATGCCCTAGAGCACATGTGTCAAACACAAGGCCCTCGGGCCAAATCCGTCCCGCCAGGCCTTGCAATGTGGCCCGCACCGGGCTGTCATCACTGCACTCCGCTGCGTTTCCATCACAATGACAGTTTATGACTGTTCAGTAAACCATTCGGCCCGCGATTTAGGCTGGATTTTAGATTTTGGCCCCTTCTCTGATTGAGTTCGACACCCCTACCCTAGAGGCACCTGGTCAGGCCTGTGTCAGTCAACAGGCACGGAACCCTCGCTGTTGCTGGATGCAGGCAGAGCCCCAATGCTCTGCCACCGGAACCATGATTTCCTGCCAGGAGGAAGGAGAGCTGTTTTCATTTTACTGGTCAAGCAGCCACGAATAACTAGGTCTTGTGTTCAGCATTTACAGCCTAAGACAGTTTTAAGCCCCCTGGAGTAGATGGCACAAGTAGCCCCGTTCCGGGGGGGTTGAGAGGGGGATTGAGCTCCTGTCCACGGCCGTCCAGGGATGTGTGTGACCGCAGGCAGGTACCCTCCGTCCTCTCTGAGGACTCCTCTCCCCAGGAAGGGGCTCAGGGCCGGCCTGTCTCCTCCGGCCAGCTGCTGCAGGCACCCTGGCGGAGTTTCAGTAACAGCTGTGGTTTTGAACTGCTTCCCTCCCTGAGGAGCCCGAGAGCCTCTGTTTGTACCTCCCTCCCAGAGGGGCTCCGTAATCACAGCAAGAATGGCTCTCTGTTACCCAGAGCCCGCTGCGCGCCAGGCACTGCTTGTCACTCTTCCCCTTCCTTATCTTGGTCAGGATGCCCGGGATGGGGCATCTCACCGATGAGGAGACCGAGCAGAGACGCGAGGTCCCTCGTCCAGGTAACAAGCCCACAGGTGGGAGAGTCTCCTTGCATCGGACCCCACCCTACAGGCTTACCAGGCCCAGAAGCCCCTCCCCTGTCAGTCCTCAGGTGCCCGGTGCCCACAGCCCTGTGGGCAGGCCTTGGCCCCCTGCTTACTCATTTCACCAGGGTGTGACCTGGAACGGCTCCAGACCCAGCCCTGGGTGTGGCGCTTGCTCTGTGGCCCGGCTGCAAAGTGCAGGGCGAGCAGGATTTGTCAGCGGCTGCTGGTTAAAGGGAACCGCAGGCACTGCCCAGCCAGGTTCAACGGCAGAAGGCAGGCCAGGGCCCAGGGCTCAGCGCTCACTGCTTAGTGCTTTTCCCGCCGCTTTCTGGAGATGCGTGGGAATTTGTCTGTGGAGTCCCTGCTCCAGCCAAGCACCCTGCATCCTTGCCTTTCGTCCCCGAGGGAACCCTTGAAGAGGGTGGGGTTCTGCACGGTTCTCCTTTCCCTTTAATTTCTCGATATTTTCCAAATGTCCTCTGAGAACCATGAAGGACAAGGAACACCTTGCTGGTTGAGTCTCCTGGGCTCTGGCCTGAGAGAGGAGCTTGGTCTTCTGCCTTGGGGTTGGCTGGGTGGCCTCTCATCTTCACCAGGCCTCTAAGAAACAGCCCCAGGGGCTGCCTGCGAGGGTCCGAGCCACCCTGGCCGCGGGGTGTGGTCCCAGACCTTTGCTCTTGGCACGTCCCTGTCTTCTCAGCTTACCTCTGAACTCTCCCCCTGCTGCTGCTCCTGGCGCTGTGGTGACAGCACCCCTCCCCCACCCCCGAGTCCTGAGCTCCATTTCACAGGTGGGACTCAGGAAGGCAACTGACTTTCCAGCCAAGAAGTGGGTGGGAGGGCCGTATGGGAACCCGGGTGCCCCTGACTCGGCCTCTCCTGGCTCCTCGTCCTTCTGGGCTTGCCCTCTGCCACGTGTGTTCTGCAGGCGCAGGCCCTACCCGTGAGCAGACCCTTCTCTGGGCAATGCATAAAGGTGACCGATGTCCTCGGGTGAGGGGCACAATGCTGCTTAGGGACTCTGAGATGCAGGATAAGGGTGAGAGAGAGGGAGAGGAGGGAGAGGATGTGTGTGTGCTGTGTGTGTGTGTGTGTAAGTGTAAGTAATGGGGGCAGGAGGGTAGAGGAAGGCCTTGGCCCACATTCCAGCCGATTCGGAGGGAATGTGAATGGGATGGAGCTGGGGCAGCCTGGTGCATGGCTTTGGAATCAGACAGACCTGGGTTCAAACTCTGACCTTGGGCACACGGCTTAACCTCTCCGAGTCGCCACTTCTCTTCCGAGAGAGATTGCCAAAACTGATGGTGCAGGGCTGATGAGCACGGGACTGGCCCGGCACAGGTACTCTGTTCAAGGGCCTCCCCTCCTTCCCACCCGCAGGTCATGGGGGTCTTCCTGGAATGTTCTGGAAACTTAGCAGGGCTGGCTCCGGTCCGGTAGGGGAGGTGGTTGGGCTGGGGGAGATTCTGGCTTGCCCTACCTCTATCTCAGGGAGAACTCAGACTCACTTTCCTTCTCCCGGCCTTTGGCATTCCTTTTGAGGACTGGATGAAGGATTCTGGGATCAATAACTTCTATCTGGATTGATAGTCTGTTACCTCAGCCGTAAGATGAGGATCAGTGGTGTTGGGAAGATGGAGTGAGGTGAGGAGTGCCGGGGTGCTAGAGGCAAGATGAGGCTGGAGAAGGTCACCTACCCTAGACTCTAGGATGTCACCCGCTGGGAGGTTAGAAAAGGAATATTCCAGAGAGACTTAAAGAGGAATGAGCAGGGAGGCCCTTGGATTATGTCCAGGCCAGGGCAGGTGTGGAGGAGAGAAACGGAGGAGCAATGCTCCTCAGACCAATCCAAGAGGACTTCCTGGAGCAGGCGGGGGGGGGGGGGGGGGAGACAGCCCAGAGGGGAGCTTAGAGCAAGAACTGTCATCACCGCCCACACCTGTCAGCCCAGCTGTGCTCCGCAGCGGTTAGAAGGCTCAGCCCCGCCGAGCATGACCTCACCGCCAAAGGTTAAAATAGGCCTCTCTGCTCCGATGGGGTGAGGGGGACTGGGGGCGGGGAGAGGGAGAAATGGGCTCGGCAACTCCCACCAGGGTGTGCCGAGAGGCCGAGATTGGGTTTCAGAGAAGGCGTCTCATGTCCTGAGCATCCACTGTGCGCTGAGCTGCAGGCTGAGCACTCTGTCTGCCCCACTTTAAAAAGGAGGAAACAGGCCCGAGGTGTGGGGCCTTTCCCCAAGTCACACACACACACACACACCGTGAAGGAGCTGGGAGGTGCAAGCTCAGGTCCCTGACCCCGTGTCCCAGTGCCCCAGTGTCCCGGCCCTGCCCCTGCCCCTGCCCCTGCCCAGCCCTAACCTGGAGAGAGGCCCCTTCCGGGCCTAGCAGGGCCGGGTGGCGATGGGGCGGAGAGGAGCAGCTGGGTCTGTGGTTTGATTTCCCCAGCAGGTGTTTCCCAAGCTTGGCAGGAACAGGGCGGGGGGCAGGGGACCTCAGCTGCTTGTCCGTAAGACGCAGGGAAGGATTCATTGTCTGCCCCTCTCCACAGAGAGAGAGAGTGGCAAACGGAGTCCATTCAGGAGTCCCTGGGCCCTGGAGCTGGAACCCAAACCTGCGGTGGGGGATGTTTGCACTGCTTCCCGCTGCGGGCACCTCCCTGAGGCGTGGCACCGGTCCAGGAAGTGCCCTGGGCCTGGGTGGATGCCCGGCCCCACCCTGATAAGGGCCAGCTGTGGCGCTGTGATGGGCACCCAGGGTGGCTGCGGCAGCTGCTCCTGCAGGAGGGGGGCTGTCCCCAGTCTGATGTGGTTTAGGCCCCACCCACCCCTTCCTGCACCATCCTCGGTGCATGGGGGAAGGGGCAGAGGTGGCAGTGACCTTGTGGCCTGTTTTTAAGGGACTCTGAGCTCTTGGCCAGACTGGCTTTGGCAGGGTCTCAGGTGCCTGGGCCTCAGAGGATGGGAGTGCTGGGTGACCCTCAGAAACCAGGACGTCCTTCCCTTGAAAGGTCACGTTTAAGGTCATTGGTACTTCCTTACCAAGCACAGTCCCGTTTCTGCAGGACTGGTGGTGCCCTGAGGCAGGAAGTGGCTGCTGGTGGCCTCGGGCCCCGGTTGGGAAAAGTCTGAGGGGGAATGATTCTCAAACTCTGCCTCTCCCTCCCCTCTCTCTCCAAGGCCAAAAGGAAGCTGGACCTGGAGGGCATCGGGCGGCCCGCGGTCCTGGAGCTCCAGACCCCCAAGGGGAAGCTCATTAGAGTGGATGGCCTCCCCAGCCCGAAAAGTAAGTGGTGCTGGCGGGGCCTCCGGGGGCAGACTCGGGAGACGGGGTGGGCAGGGGTGGAGGGCAGCTGCCCTGCCCAGATCCCCGGGAGGGGTATTTGCAGCACACTTCCTGGTGTACACGGCCGTTTCCTGTGTGTTCTCGCTGGGCCCTGCCAGGGAGAGAGGATTGCCCCTCTTTTACTGATAAAACACTGGAGGCTCAGAGCCAGGGTGGCTTGCCCAAGGTCACTGCCGGTAAGTAGAGTCTGGACTACCACCCAGTCTTTTTTTTTTTTTTTTTAATATATTTTATTGATTTTTTTTTTTTTTTTACAGAGAGGAAGGGAGAAGGATAGAGAGCTAGAAACATCGATGAGAGAGAAACATCGACCAGCCGCCTCCTGCACACCCCCTACCGGGAATGTGCCCGCAACCAATGTACATGCCCTTGACCGGAATCGAACCCGGTACCCTTCAGTCCACAGGCTGATGCTCTATATCCACTGAGCCAAACTGGTTTCGGCTACCACCTAGTCTTGTACTCCTTCTCTCACACTATACACCGCTCTTGGGTTCCAAACGGGATGACCAGCGATTGGTTTGGGAACTTACTATTTTTGTTTGCATTTCATTCAACCTGACCTTCTCTAAAAGAGAGGATCCAGCTCAGAGAGGAGCAGGGATGCAGACAGAGAGCTAGCGAAGGGAAGTGACGCTCGGATTCACCCGGCCTCAGAGGCTGAGAACCAGAGGAGAGGTTTTCCGCCTCCGTATTTGCAGCCAGTATCCTGGTTAGAGCGGGAGGTTCCGCACCTGTGATAGAGAGAACTCTTACTTTGGGGGACAGAAACCCAACGAAGAAGGTATGTGACCGGGTGGGAAGCGTGAGGGTCAGGGGCTTGGGGGTCCTGGCGGGGCTGTGCCCTGACCTGACTGGCCACTCCTTTTCCGTGAACCTTTTCATTCAATGGTCTCGTCTGTAAACTGAGGCACAGCTAGATCAGGAAGAGTAAGAAGGCTTCCTTCCCAGTCGATGGGTAGAAGTGCCCAAGCTCTTTATCAAAGGATCCCACGTGCACTGGTTGAAAAAGCAGCCCGTGTGCCAAATGCTTGCATCTGTATGTTAAAGGCTTCCGAAGTCTCCTTCTAGAGCAGTTTCCCAAACTTTTGACATATGTGTACTCCTTCTATAATTTTCGTAACGCTGAGTACCCCTTGTACTCATGAGAGGTAGAATTAGGCGCAGCTAAGCACGGTGCAGTGCGTATCCCCACCAAACTCCGGAGCAACGCGTACCCCCACCAAACTCTTCCCGTACCCCTGGGGGTATGCGTACCGCACTTTGGGAAACACTGTCCTAGAGGAATCTGAGACTCTCTAAAACTCAGTTTCCTGATCTAGTTTGGACATCCACTTGCTGTATGAATTGCAAGTCACTTTATTGCAAAAGTTCTCCTTGCGGTTTAAGATGTTGCAGCTGAGATGCGGTGTCTTGTGACATCAGCTCCAGTAAGAAAGGGACCTTTCCGTGACCCTGCCCCCTTCGATGTGACAGGACTGATTCCGCTCAGATAACCACTGGGCTGCACACGGAGACGAGAGGCAAGTCTGTAAGAATGTTCTCAAGTCCCAGCTGGTCATTCCCTCCCTGCCCTAATTCCAAATGCCTGACATAACTGGCAGGATAGAGTAATGGTGAAGAAGGAAGACTTGGCCGAAACCGGTTTTGCTCAGTGGATAGAGCGTCGGTCTGCAGACTGAAGGGTCCCAGGTTCGATTCCAATCAAGGGCATGTATATTGGTTGTGGGCAAATCCCCAGTAGGGGGTGTGCAGGAGACAGCTGATCGATGATTCTCTCTCATCGATGTTTCTAGCTCTCTATCCCTCTCCCTTCCTCTCTGTGAAAAATCAATAAAATATATTAAAAAAAAAAAAAAAAGAAGAAGAAGAAGAAGAAGAAGAAGAAGGAAGACTTGGAACCAGACTCCTGGATGTAAATTCCAGCTTTGCCACTTTCTAGCCGAGCGAGCTGAGCAAGCTACTGAACCTGCCTTGTGCCTCAGTGTTCTCATCTATAAAATGGGGATGGTTATACACCAAATTTATAGGCTGTTGTAAGGATCACGTTTGTTGTCTGTGGAAATTGCATAGGACATTGATCTACACACAGTAAGCATTTGGTGATGGTGATGGTAGTGGTGATAGAGCTGCCTAAGCTGTGGTGGAAAGAGCCTCTGAACCAGGTATCCGGACACTTGGTTTCTAGCCCCGACTCTGACTTTAACTGTGAGACCGTAAGCAAATCACTTTCCCTCTGGAGGCACGAGGCTTCCGGTTTGGACAACGGTAGTGAATGATCCCCTCCCTCCCGGTGGAAAGTGGGTGCTTCCGGGAAGGGGGGTACCGAATGGGTCCAGGTTCCCGGAGCAGGCTCCCCAGGCTGGGCCTCTCTGAGCGATGGCCGGGCCCCTTTCCTCCTCAGCACCCAAGTCCCCCGGGGAGAAGACTCGGTACGACACATCGCTGGGGCTGCTCACCAAGAAGTTCATTTACCTCCTGAGCGAGTCCAAGGACGGGGTCCTGGACCTGAACTGGGCTGCGGAGGTGCTGGACGTGCAGAAGCGGCGCATCTATGACATCACCAACGTGCTGGAGGGCATCCAGCTGATTCGCAAGAAGGCCAAGAACAACATCCAGTGGGTGTGAGTGCCTGGGCTGGGGCTGGGGGCAGAGCCAGGAGCAGTGTCCAGTGGGTGTGAATGTCAAGGGTGAGGGTTGAGAGCAGCATCCAATGGGCACAAGCGGCAGGGGTGGGGTTGAGAGCAGCATCCAATGGGCACAAGCGGCAGGGGTGGACCAAGAGCAACATCCAATAGGCTTATCCGCTGGGGGCGGAGCCAGTATCTAAGCAGAGTAGAGGAACAGGTGTACGTGCTGGAGCAACATTAGGAGGAGTGCGTGGCAGGCCTAGGGTGGAGAATGCTTTCCAGGATGTGTGAAGGCCTCGGAGGACTGCATTCTCTCGAGTCAAGGATCCCAAGAGTTCCCTCTTCTAGTTTAGGAAAGTCCCCAGGGGCCCGAGAGCTAACCACCCAGACTCCTTCCCGCTGGGAGATATGAGTACTCCAGCCTCCTCCCATCCCTGCTACAAGGTCGTAAAGAGCAGACCTGCAGCCCCTGGCATGAACCCTAAGAGAACCGAGGCAGGGGGGTCAGGACCGAGGTCATTCTAGCTCCCCGACATATGGGGGAGGCTGGGGCAAGGGTGGACAGAGCGGAAAGCCCTCCACACGTGGGGTAATGCCCTGACTTGTTACTTTTCCCTAGCCCAGTGGTCGGCAAACTGGCTCGTGAGCCACACGTGGCTCTTTGGCATCTTGCGTGTGGCTCTTCCACAAAATACCACGGCCTAGGCGAGTCTATTTTGAGGAAGTGGTGTTAGAAGAAGTTTAAGTTTAAAAATTTTGGCTCTCAAAAAGAAATTTCAATCGTCGTCCTCTTTATATTTGACTCTGTTGACTGAGTTTGCCGACCACTGTCCTAGCCCAATCCTCAAACCTCAAGGTTCGCTTTCCAGCAGCTCCCTGGGAGCCAGACGGGACTGCTGACTTGCACAACCCGGGAGCACTCTGGTAGACCCTGAGGATGGCCTCGTCCTGGGGATTGACACCGTCTGCATCCCCGCGGCTCTGCGCAGCTGTGCTCAGGTTGGGGTCCCTGGTTGTGCACTAAGACTGACGCCGGGGGGCCGCTCTGTTCCCAGAGGCAAAGGAGCTCTGGGAGACCCCACCCGGCCTGGGAAGCAGCAGCAGCTGGGACAGGAGCTGAAGGAGCTGATGAGCACGGAGCAGGCCCTGGACCAGCTCATCCAGAGCTGCTCTCTGAACTTCAAGCACCTGACCGAGGACAAGGCCAACAAGAAATATCCTCGGTGACCGGGGAGGAGGTGGTCAGGGGGCTGGGCCTGCTGCACGCTTTCATATCTACCCGGAGTTGATGCAATACCGCCCTCGGGGTCTGGCATATCTGCACATCTGCTTTTTCCTTTCTGGGTGGCTTTTCTTCTTGACTCTGTTGAAGTTGCTTTCTCATAGTACAAAAGTAAGACAAGCACATTTCTTTAAATCTGCAAAGTGGAGGAAAGAAATAGCAGCCACCATAACATTGTTCTTTAAACATACACAGGTTGTGTGTTATTTAAATGCTAGAGCACATGTGTCAAACACAAGGCCCGCGGGCCAAATCCGTCCCGCCAGGCCTTGCAATGTGGCCAGCACCGCGCTGTCATCACTGCACTCCGCTGCGTTTCCATCACAATGACAGTTTATGACTGTTCAGTAAACCATTCGGCCCGCGATTTAGGCTGGATTTTAGATTTTGGCCCCTTCTCTGATTGAGTTCGACACCCCTATGCTAGAGGCCCAATGCATGAAATTCATGCACTTTGGGGCGGGGGGTGTCCCTCAGCCTGACCTGTACCCTCTTTCAGTCCGGGAGTCCTTGGGGGATGGGAAGCTGGCCTAAGCCGTCAGTCAGACATCCTTAGCGCTGCCACGGAGGCGGGAGAGGCTCCTGCCACCGCCGCTGTGCTCACCAGCCGTGAGCCCGGCTTCTGGCCAAGTGGTGCTCCCCTGTGGGAGCGCACTGACCACCGGGGGACAGCGCCTGCATTGAGCGTCTGCCCCCTGATGGTCAGTGCACATCATAGCAACCGGTAGTTCCACTGTTCGGTCGATTTGCATATTAGCCTTTTATCATACAGGATAGTGTGTGACTGCTGTGCATAACACTTTATATCCTGCTTTTCTCCCCTTAGTATACTACCACAGACAGTTTTTATGAGTTACAAATCCTTCCTGATCCACATGAAGTTGTTGATATTGAACCATTTTTTATCTACAAAAACAGCAATCTCATGTGGTTTAACCTCATATTTAAAATAGTTTGAGAATATCCTACTCAGATTACACTCTGGTTTGTTGATAAGGCCTAAAATGGACATTTAGATCTATTCTAGATTTATGCTCCTATGAAGCAACAAAATGATGAATGCTTTTATATATAAAACATTGTCCTATTTTTTTTTTTTTTAACTTATTTCCCTAGGTCAGATTCCTAGGTTTGAAATAATGAGGTCACAGAGAATGGACTTTGCTAAGGCTTTTCAGACATTTTCCCCAAATAGTTTTACCATCTAATTGGTTTTTGGAGATGGCTTTGTGTTTTTGGATGGATGCTAGGCATTGTGAAAGTTTTAAATAAATAAGACATCTTCCTTACTGAAAATCAGCAAGTGCAATAAAGATAGGGTTATAAAAGGAAAAAAGAAAAAGACATATCTTCCTGCCTTCTCTAGTTTGAGAGATGAAGCCTTTTGTGTAAAACCTGATAAAAGGCAGCATTAAGAAATGATTTCTAAAGGGATCCAAGGTAACTTTGATATTAAAAGAACAGGTTACAGTTCGGGGTTATTTCTGGGGTTCTATAACGAATGAGAAAAAATGTCCAGAGGCTGAGGAGAAGTGGCTCGGACCCTGCCTGGCGGGCCGGGTGTGGATTTTGACTTCCTTGACTCCCCCGCCCCCCACACTGGCCTACGTGACCTACCAGGACATCCGTGCTATCGACACCTTCAGGGAGCAGACTGTGATCGCGGTCAAGGCCCCTCCGCAGACAAGACTGGAAGTGCCCGACCGGAATGAGGTGAGAGGGGAAGCACTGGCGGAGAGCGGGGCTAGGAGGTCCAGGAAGCTCTGTCCCAGGCACTGCCCGGCCCCCAGCTGCCCCAGGCCACGCAGGTACCCATGGCAAGATCTGCGTTCTCTGAGCCGGGGCAGAAATGACAGAAGCTGGAAAGGGCAACAGAGTCTGGCCCGGGAAGAACCTCTGTTTCTGGTTTCTCTCCGCATCCCACCAGCCCTGTGTCCTGCTCACAGTAACGTGTGCCCGCACACAGGAGCGTTAGTGCTTACAGTAACGTGTGCCCGCACACAGGAGCGTTAGTGCTCACAGTAACGTGTGCCCGCACACAGGAGCGTTAGTGCTCACAGTAACGTGTGCCCGCACCAGCAGTTAGTGCTCACAGTAACGTGTGCCCGCACACAGGAGCTTTAGTGCTCACAGTAACGTGTGCCCGCACCAGCAGTGTTAGTGCTCACAGTAACGTGTGCCCGCACACAGCAGTTAGTGCTCACAGTAACGTGTGCCCGCACACAGCAGCGTTAGTGCTCACAGTAACGTGTGCCCGCACCAGCAGTGTTAGTGCTCACAGTAACGTGTGCCCGCACACAACAGTGTTAGTGCTCACAGTAACGTGTGCCCGCACACAGGAGCGTTAGTGCTCACAGTAACGTGTGCCCGCACACAGCAGCGTTAGTGCTCACAGTAACGTGTGCCCGCACACAGCAGCGTTAGTGCTCACAGTAACGTGTGCCCGCACACAGCAGTGTTAGTGCTCACAGTAACGTGTGCCCGCACACAGCAGTGTTAGTGCTCACAGTAACGTGTGCCCGCACACAGGAGCGTTAGTGCTCACAATAACGTGTGCCCGCACACAGCAGCGTTAGTGTCACAGTAACGTGTGCCCGCACACAGGAGCGTTAGTGCTCACAGTAACGTGTGCCCGCACACAGCAGTGTTAGTGCTCACAGTAACGTGTGCCCGCACACAGCAGTGTTAGTGCTCACAGTAACGTGTGCCCGCACACAGCAGTTAGTGCTCACAGTAACGTGTGCCCGCACACAGCAGTTAGTGCTCACAGTAACGTGTGCCCGCACCAGCAGTGTTAGTGCTCACAGTAACGTGTGCCCGCACACAACAGTGTTAGTGCTCACAGTAACGTGTGCCCGCACACAGCAGCGTTAGTGCTCAGTCAGTAACGTGTGCCCGCACCAGCAGTGTTAGTGCTCACAGTAACGTGTGCCCGCACACAGGAGCGTTAGTGCTCAGTCAGTAACGTGTGCCCGCACACAGCAGTTAGTGCTCACAGTAACGTGTGCCCGCACACAGCAGTGTTAGTGCTCAGTCAGTAACGTGTGCCCGCACATCAGTTAGTGCTCACAGTAACGTGTGCCCGCACACAGTGTTAGTGCTCACAGTAACGTGTGCCCGCACACAGCAGTTAGTGCTCACAGTAACGTGTGCCCGCACCAGCAGTGTTAGTGCTCACAGTAACGTGTGCCCGCACACAGCAGTTAGTGCTCACAGTAACGTGTGCCCGCACCAGCAGTGTTAGTGCTCACAGTAACGTGTGCCCGCACACAGCAGTGTTAGTGCTCACAGTAACGTGTGCCCGCACACAGCAGTGTTAGTGCTCACAGTAACGTGTGCCCGCACACAGCAGTTAGTGCTCACAGTAACGTGTGCCCGCACACAGTGTTAGTGCTCACAGTAACGTGTGCCCGCACACAGTTAGTGCTCACAGTAACGTGTGCCCGCACCAGCAGTGTTAGTGCTCACAGTAACGTGTGCCCGCACACAGGAGCGTTAGTGCTCACAGTAACGTGTGCCCGCACACAGCAGCGTTAGTGCTCACAGTAACGTGTGCCCGCACACAGTGTTAGTGCTCACAGTAACGTGTGCCCGCACACAGTGTTAGTGCTCACAGTAACGTGTGCCCGCACACAGCAGTTAGTGCTCACAGTAACGTGTGCCCGCACACAGCAGTGTTAGTGCTCACAGTAACGTGTGCCCGCACACAGCAGTTAGTGCTCACAGTAACGTGTGCCCGCACACAGCAGTTAGTGCTCACAGTAACGTGTGCCCGCACACAGCAGTGTTAGTGCTCACAGTAACGTGTGCCCGCACACAGGAGCGTTAGTGCTCACAGTAACGTGTGCCCGCACACAGCAGTGTTAGTGCTCACAGTAACGTGTGCCCGCACACAGCAGTTAGTGCTCACAGTAACGTGTGCCCGCACACAGCAGTGTTAGTGCTCACAGTAACGTGTGCCCGCACACAGCAGTGTTAGTGCTCACAGTAACGTGTGCCCGCACACAGCAGCGTTAGTGCTCACAGTAACGTGTGCCCGCACACAGCAGCGTTAGTGCTCACAGCAGTGTTAGAGCTCACAGGAGCCCTTCTGTGCCAACCATGCTGCCCTGGATTAAAGACCAAAAGCATTTTTTAAAAGTTGATTTTAGAGAAAGAGGAAGGGAAAGGAAAAGAGAAACATCAATGAGAGAGAGAGGAAAACAATGATTTGCTGCCTCCTCCATGCCCCCATATGCCCTGGTTGAAATCGAACAGTGACCTCTCAAAAAAAAAAAAAAAATGCACCAGTGATGCTCAGCCAACTGAGCCAGGGGCAGGACCAAAATTCTTAACACCCCCCAGGAGGCCTCTCTGCTCTTACTTTGCCATCCTCCTCTCCCATGCGGCTCCTCTTCTCTGCTTCAGCCTCCGACCTGCCTGCAGTTTCCCCACCACCTAAGCTTGTCCCCAGGGCAGCGCCTTCGCACATGCTGTTCCCTCCAGCTGACACGCCCTTCCCTCTCTCTGCCCGGTTTACTCTATTGATCCTGCACTCGAGCATCACTTCCACCAGGAAGCCTTCCCTGATCACCCCCAGACTTCATAACCAATATCTTGGTGTTTACATGACTATGTTCTGCTTCGTCCATTAGAGTGTACACCCCACAAAAGTACGTTCCTTCTCATGTGCGTTATTTCTGAGCTCTATAATGAGTGAGAAACTTCCAACTCAGAGTCTGATAAAGGCTCACAGAATAATATGTTTAATGGAAGAACATTCAGATAAATGAGGCCCCGCCCACCACCTCAGCCGACCTCAGAGGCTAGAGGGGACGAGACCCAGGCAGGGATGCTGTGATTTGCAGGTGGGAGATGTGCTTTGTGGGCTGGGAGGAAGGAGAGTTGGAGGATGCACCCATAGGTGGTGACAGTTAAACTGGGTCCTAAACAATTAATAGGATTTTTTTTAAAACATTAATATTTCAAGGGGAAAAAAATTATTTTTATTTATTTATTTATTTTAAAATATACTCTATTGATTTTTCACAGAGAGGAAGAGAGAGGGATAGAGAGTTAGAAACATCGATGAGAGAGAATCACCGATCAGCTGCCTCCTGCACACACCCCACTGGGGATGTGCCCGCAACCAAGGTACATGCCCTTGACTGGAATCGAACACGGGACCCTTCAGTCCGCAGGCCGACGCTCTATCCACTGAGCCAAACCGGTTTCGGCAAGAAAAAATTTTAAATAAGCATTAATATTTCAAGAAAAACAATCTTAAGTATGTTACATGCAATAAACATTAATATTTCAAGAAAAAAAGATTTTGAAAGGATTTTGTTTTTAAATTGTCTTATTTATGTACTTATATGTAGTTGTACACACTATTGTGCTAGTTTCAGGTGTACAATATAAGGACTCGACAGGGGTATACCTTAACTATGATCGCCACACTAAGTTTAGTCATCACCTGTCAAACTTATCTCAGTGATACTGAGCAGGATGTTTGCTGGGTGGAGTAGGGGAAGGAGGGTGCTGCATGAATGTCGCGCGCGCGCACGTGTGTGTGTGTGTGTGTGTGTGTGTGTGTGTGTGTGGTCAGCTGCCGCTTTGCTCCTGACCTGCCTGGAGAGCCGAGTGCATGCAGGGATGGCGTGCGTGTGGTCAGCTGTGGCTTAGGCTGCCGGGATGTGGTGGACCAGAGGCAGGGTTGGAGCTTATGGTTCCGGGAAACAGAAAGACAAGTCCAACTCCCTTCAGTGCGAGGGGAGAGGGGAGTAAGTGACGGGTCCGGGGAAGATGTGGGTTTCAGGCAAGGCTCGACCCAGGGGCTCACACCATGACACTAAGTTCACCTCACGCTCCACCTCTCACTGCCGTTCTCTGTGCCGACTCCGTTCCCAAGTGGACTCTCCCCTGCGGCAAAGTAGTGTTCATGGCACCAGCTCAGCAACCCCAGGGCGAGGGGAGCGTCCATTTCCGGGCCCTGGGCCGGATGCTCGGTGGACGGACCTGAGTCACGTGCCACCCTGCACAGTCACCGTCACTTTCCTCTCTCATCCTGCATCCCGGGCTCGCCCGTTGGAGCTGGGGCAGGGGGCTGCCTCCCGCTCCCAACTCCCGGACGAGAGTGGAGGAAGCGTGACTTCCCGGAGGGAAATCCAGGCTTTCTCCCTGAAAGAAAGGCCTGGGGGCCAGGCAGGCAGAAGCAGCAGGGGTTGGTTGACCACAGGCCTCGGGGCCCAGCTCAGGAGCGGAGCTTGCTCCCGTGTGCCGGTCTGTGTACACTGACCCGTGAGTAGATGTGCAGCTGCCCAGAGCCACGCCCTGGCTTCTCCTCCTCCAGGAGAACCTGCAGATCTATCTGAAGAGCACGCAGGGGCCCATCGAAGTCTACTTGTGCCCGGAGGAGATGCAGGAACCAGAGAGCCCCGCCAAGGAGCCTGTCTCCTCCACGTCCACCCTCAACCCCACTCCTGACTCCGCCCAGCCCTGCAGCAGCACCAGCCCTGGCGCCCTGGCACCCACGGCATCCCCAGGTAGGCCCTCTGAGCACAGGGACAGAAGCTGGCAGTGCCGCTGGCCTTGGTTTCCTCTTCCACATCAACACCTTCTCCCCAGCGGCCGGGTATAGTCCTCCTGCACATGTGTGCGTCACACTCTACACGCTAAAGCACGTGTGCATTGGCAGGCTGAGCCCGCTTGAGGGCAGAGGGGCTGGGATTTGCATCCCAGCTCTTCCACTTAGCAGCTGTGTGGCCTTGGACAAGTTATTTGACCTCTCTTTGCCTCAGTCTCTCATCTGTACGTTGGGCTTAGTCATTAATAGTATCTACTTCGTGGGTCGTTGTGAAAATGAAATGAGCTAATATATATAAAGCACTTAGAACTATGCCTAGAAATAAAAGAAGGTGATTATTATTATTATTATTATTATTACTGCCACTGCCACTAGTACTGCTGCTTCTGTGACAGCTACGAACAGCCAAGCTCCTGGCACTCGATAAGCCCACAGCATATAGGTTTTATGAGGAAGGCTCAGCACTTTCTTGGGTGAGAATAACTAAGGTTTATTGAACCACGACTGTACCAGATGCACCCATTCCTACATTATCCTCGTAGTAGTTCTTTTTTTTTTTTAATTGATTTTTTTTTACAGAGAGGAAGGGAGAGGGATAGAGAGTTAGAAACATCAATGAGAGAGAAACATCGATCAGCTGCCTCCTGCACACCCCCTACTAAGGGATGTGTCCACAACCAAGATACATGCCCTTGACCGGAATCGAACCTGGGACCCTTCAGTCCGCAGGCCAATGCTCTGCAGGGCGTCGCATTATTCCCAGTTTGGAGGTAAAGAGCTGAGGCAGAGCTTGTCCCAGGCCTCCCAGCTGGGAGACACAGAGCTGTGTCTCAGTCTCCGCATTCCTCGCCCGGTGCTGTCTGCACAGCACAGAACAAATCCGGGCAGGGGTCCCGGCTCAGCCCTGGCTGGGACGTGGGATGTGGGATGTGGCCGGAACAGCTGGCTACACTTGGCAGGAAGTAGTGGGAGGCAGCTGCCGGGGAGCAGGGAGGTAGGAGGTCCCTGCGGGCTTCCCGGGGAGGTGGCAGTCCGGAAGGAGTGGCCGCTGGGATGGTTCTTCCCTTCACTGGGCTCACACATCGGGTCCGACCGGCAGGATTCCTCGAGGCTGCGTAGGCCAGTGTTCCACTCTGTGTTCTTAGCAGCAGAATTTCCTTAAGTGAGACCCTGGCGTTTAAACAAATGCAGAGCTAGAGCCGGTCTGATAGAAGAGGTGTGTTTGGGCAGATCTACAGAACCTAGATTGGATTCCATTTCTTTATCTAACTCAAGGACTGACAAACTATTGCCTGCAGGTCAAATGCAGCCCGTTTTTATATGGTTTGTGAGCTAAGAATGGTTTTCCTGTTGTTAAGAGTTGTAGGGGGCGGGAAAGAAAGTGACAGAGAACGTAAGTGTCCTGCAAAGCCTAAAATACTATCAGCCCTTTACAGAAGTTCGCTGACCCCTGGCCTAACGCAACCCTTCCTTGTACATTCAAGTAAAACTGAAGCCCAGAGAGGGCAAGTGACTTCCCTAAGGCCACACAGCACGTTGGTGGTAGGACTTGGGCACTGGCCCCGACGCCCAGCTTCTCTCTAGTGATCGCTCCTGAGTCCTGGCCTGGCCCCGGGACCAGGGCTTCTCCCTGCACCAGCCATCTGTCCCTCCGGGCACCTCCCAGTGCTTATCACCCGCTCCAGACCTGCGCCCCACCCTGCTCCCCCGCCTGCCTCGTCTGCCTGCTCACTCCACTGTCAACAAGTGCACAGCTGTCCAACGTTCAAACCACTTTCACTTCAGTTTGTCCTCTGGGACCTCGGGCAGAGGTGGGGGGCCCTCCATCCGACCCAAGCCAGTTGTACCGATGAACAGCCTGAGGCCCCACAAGGAGCATTTGGTGGTGGGGCCAGCCCAGAAGCCAGCTCTGGGCCTGGGCTAGGGCCATGGCTGTCCCTCCCCACATTTGCCTCGTGGCCTCTCGGTGTTAGCCCTGCTGACGGGAGCAGGGGAGCTCTCTGGACAGCGTGCACCTGTGGAGTGTGTGAGAGAGCAGAGGGGAGAGCGCGGGAGAAGGAGGGCGGTTGCTGGAGCTGGTACCGGGAAAAGGGAGAGTGTCCAGGGCCGCGAGGTGGGAGCAGGGCAGGAGAGAAGAGAAGGGGGCACAGTCGTCCGGAGAACCGGAGGGCGGTTCTTGGCCTCAGGGGTCTGACCAAAGGCTTCTGGGCCCGAGGGCCAGTCCTAACCCTTGTCTCTTTGTCTCCAGCGCCATCGCTGACTTCCCAGCAGGTCCCGCCTCTGCCGCCACCACCCCTTGTCCCCCTGGAGGCCACAGACAGCATGCTGGAGCTGCCACACCCCCTTCTGCAGCAGACCGAGGACCAGCTCCTGTGCCCAGCCCTGGCCGACAGCTCCCCCCTGATCAGCTTCTCCCCGCCCTTGGACCAAGATGACTACCTGTGGGGCCTGGACGGCGGGGAGGGCATCAGCGACCTGTTTGACTCCTATGACTTCGGGGACCTGCTGATTAACTGAGTGGCCCTGCCCGCCCCCCGCAGCTCCGCCACGGGCAGACAGATGGGGACACTGGGCACAGATGCCACCCTCAGGGCATGGGGGTCTCCTCTCCCTCCTGCCCCCGTGTCCTACCGGCCGAAGCTGTCCGGGGGCCTGTGGAGGGTACGGGTGAGGATCGTGTCAGGGGTTGGGTCCTGTCCTTCCCAGCGGAAGCTGGGCCTCGGAAGGCCCGTTCAGTCTTCTGACCTCTGACCTCTAATGTGAAGGGGCCACGGATGAGGTGACCAGGTCCAGGGAAAGGCCTTCTGAGGGGGGATGAGGACCCCCCGATGGCCGCAGAGCACTTACTGCCTTTGTATTTATTTCAGGTTGAGTGTTGTTTGTGTGTCTTCCTCCAGTGTTGGCAGGGCCATCGCTCTGGTCCCTGTAAGACCTCAGACAGGCTGCACTGTCCGCCCTGCAGGGGCTTCTGGCTTCCAGGGACCCCGGCCAGCTCCCCGGCCCCCCACCCCCGCCCCGCCTCCCCGCCTCGAGGTGGCGGGGCCTCTGAGCGCCTGTCCAGGCTTCTGGACGGCACTGCACTTCGGCTCCTAATTCTAGATGGTTCCAGAGAAGGTCCCAGCACAGGTGGCACCGGAGCTCCTGAGGAAACAGGAATAGCCAGTTGGGGAGCCTCCCTCCCTGTGGGATTCCCTGTTTCCCTGCCTCAGAATGTAACAGTGGCCCCAGGGAGACCGGGGTGCTCCTGAGGGAGAGGGACAGAGTGGAGGCAGCCGCTGTGGCTGCTGCAGGCCCTCCCCTGCGTTTCGGCCTCCCGCTGGGACTGTTAACGGAGGACCAGGGAGGCAGAGGCCGCAGGTGGAGGAGAAGGGTGAGATTAAGACAGGGAGCCGCCAGCACAGTCCCCTCTGTAGCTGCAGGTATCCCTCTCCCCTTCCCTGGAAGGATCTTGTTTTTGTTTTGTTTGTTTGTTTTTGTTTTTGAATATATCTTTAAGGTGACCAGACGTCCCGCGTTTGGCGGGACAGTCCCGATTTTTAACAATTTGTCCCGCGTCCCGCGGCGTTTTAAAAAATCTGACTTTTTTTAAAACGCCGAGGGACGCGGGACAAATGGTTAAAAATTGGGATGTCTGGTCACTTTAATCTTATTGATTTTTTACAGAGAGGAAGGGTAGAGAGGGGTAGAGAGCTAGAAACATCAATCATCAATGAGAAACGTCGATCAGCCACCTCCTGCAAACCGCCCCCCCCCCTCCCAGGGGATGTGCCTGCGACCAAGGTATATGCCCTTGACTGGAATCAAACCCGGACCGTTCAGTCCGCAGGCTGAGCCAAACCGGTGTCAGCGGATTTGGGTTTTTATTTTGTTTGTTGAAGCGGTGGTTCTTGAAGGAGTCCCTTCCCCCCAGCGCTCACACAGACCCCCCCCCGCCCCCCCACAGCAGTGACCAGGGCGTGATGGCACTCAGGCTCTTTTTGTCACAGGAATGTGGAAGGCGCAGGAGGGGGGTCTTCATTGCACCCAGACTGAGCAGCTAATGGGGAGATGGGCTCATGTTACCTCTTCAGACCTGGGGTTCTGAGGTCTTTATCCCTCACCCTGTCCCCCCACCAGGGCTGAGCCGAGGCCTCTGGAGGGAGGGAGACTGCAGGCCGTGGTCTGAGAGGCCTGGACCCCCACCCTCAGGGAGCTAGGGTGAGGTGATCAGATGCCCCGCTTTTGGCGGGACAGTCCCGATTTTTAACAATCCGTCCCGTGGCATTTTAAAACCGTCCCAATTTTTTGAAAGATCCCGGGACAGGGGACACATTGTTAAAAATCGGGACACCTGGTCACCTTAAGCTAGGTTTACTTAGGGTCTCAGGTGAGTAGCACCTTTTTTTTTTTTTAAGTTCGCAGCATTAAGTTGGTTTACAATATGAATTCGGCGTCCAGGGATTGCTCCTGGCCTTGCCGATGGGCATCTGCAATGTGGGAGGGGGGCCTTCTTTGGGGCTGGGGTCCCGTGGAAGCTGAGGCCAGGCTGAGACAGCTGTGCCTTGTCACCTGCAGGTCAAAGGTGCCCGGCTCTGTCATTTTGTAGGATTTACAGAGATGCTTTTGGCCGCCCCGCCTCCACAGGGCCGCAGGGCTCTCAGAAGCCTGTTTTGCAGCTCGGCGCCACCGTGGCCCCTGAGGGAGGAGGGTGGGCTGCGGGGGCGTGTGGGGCGGGAGGGCTCTTGCTGTTCCGAGCTCTTTGCTGGGCTGCTGTTGAGCCACTCACCATCTCTGAGGACAGGGGTGTTGGACTTCCCTGCCTCGAGCTCTGTCTAGAGTTTTCTCCTAGAATTAAGTCAGCAAGACAGGAGGAGAGGCCTGGCTGACGCCCCGGGGATGGGTTTAAGGTAAGGTGACCAGATGTCCCGCTTTTGGCAGGACAGTCCCGATTTTTAACAATTTGTCCCGCGTCCCACGGCGTTTTAAAACAGTCTTTTAAAATCTTTCCCAAAAATCGGGACTGTTTTAAAACGCTGCCGGACTCGGGACAAATTGTTAAATATCGGAACTTCTGATCACCTTAGTTTAAGGGGGGAATCTGGTCAGGATTTTCTCCGAATGCCCAGCCATTGAGTTGGCCAGTGGGGCTGCCCTGCCCTCTCCTGTGCTGTCCCCGCCTGGCCCAGCAAGGCCACGCCTCAGGCTCTGGAGAGGATGCAGCCTCTTTCTTACTGAAGACACTCGGGAGCCTCCCAGGTTCACTCCGGTGCTTTAAGAGCACATGTTGAGGGGTACTTCCTCCAGAGGCCAGGTCACCATAAGACGGGGCCGGAAGAAAAGCCAGCTTGCTTCGAAGGCCCATTGTTTCTGCCAGGAAGTTCCCAGCCCCTGAGTCACCGTGTCCCCCGGCAGCACGGGCTCGGCGCTCCCGGGGCCCAGCAGAATTACATTGTTGAGTGGAGTCGAAGATTCTAAGAGGTTTCTCAAAACCAGGGACATGCTCCCGTGTCCCTTGTTTAAGGTGACCAGACGTCCCGCTTTTGGCGGGACAGTCTTGATTTTCAACAGTTTTTAAAACGACATGGGAAAGATTGTTAAAACTCAGGATGTTTGGTCACATTTTTAAATATATATATATTTTATTGATTTTTTTACAGAGAGGAAGGGAGAGGGAGAGAGAGTTAGAAACATCAATGAGAGAGAATCATCGATCAGCTGCCTCCTGCACACCCCCACTGGGGATGCGCCAGCAACCAAGGCACAAGCCCCCGACCGGAATCGAACCCGGGTCCCCTCAGCCCACAGGCCGATGCTCTATCCACTGAGCCAAACCGGCTAGGGCTGGTCACCTTATTCTCGTTGGAAGTGTTAGCTAGACCAAAGTGGTTCCCCTTCTCCAGGGCAGTGCTGGCTGCCCCTAGGGCTGCGGGGCGGAGGGGCGGGGTGATGGATCTCCAAAGCTGACCCTGGGTTGGTCCGGGCTTTATTTCCCCTCCCGTCTTCCCGGCATCCGTTCTGCAGTGTTTATATTAGAGTTCTTAGTGGGAGCGTTTGGATGTCCCCGCGTCCGAGCAGTGTGTGGCTTTAGTGCGTTTGAAGTGAAAGCCTTTTGCGGTGGTTTGCCAGCAGCTTTCTGGTTCTCATCATTGCGTCCCAAGGTCCCCACCCACCTCATGGGGGGGGACCCTGTTCTCCCAGGGGGCCCTCCGTCAGCAGAAGCCGGCCAGCCTGGCTGAGGGGAGAAGCCTCGTATGTGCCACCTGTATCTCGGGGAGGGTGAGCACGCCCAGGGGGCCTGGTCTCGTGCTGGGACCCCACGGGTCATCCCCCTCCGGCCTGGCTTCGCCCTGGGCCCTGCACTGATGAGCACCATGTGAACCTCGTTGAGTTGTGATCATTGAGCATTAAACAGTGACTCCTGACGCAGTGGCTCTGTTGTGCTTTCTGAAGGTCATGGCCAGTGGGGGTTGTGTCCTCCCAAGTCGGGGGTGGGGGCTATTCTGACCAAGTGGCTGATTTCCTTCCAGAAGCAGCCTCCCGTGGCCACACTGGCTTATGACCCTGCCTGAGACCCCACCATTCAGACACTGGGAAGGTGGCAGCTCCAGAGCTAAAAAGCAGTCGCCTGCCCTGCCCTGCTCTGCTCTGCCTCCATCTCCTCTCGCCTGGGCTATTTTTCTTTCTTTTTTAAAAATATATTTTATTGATTTTTTTACAGAAAAGAAGGGAGAGGAATAGAGTTAGAAACATCAGTCAGCTGCCTCCCACACACTCCCTCTGCTGGGTATGTGCCCACAACCAAGGTACATGCCCCTGACTGGAATCGAACCTGGAACCCTTGAGTCCGCAGGCCAATGCTCTATCCACTGAGCCAAACCGATCAAGGCTGCCTGGGCTCTCTCAATAGCTTCCTTAATATCCTCTCTGCTACCCATTCCCCATCCCATCCTCCCTAGCAGTGTTTTTGTTTTGTTTTGTTTCGTGTGTGTGTGTGTGTGTGTGTGTGTGTGTGTGTTAATCCTCACCCAAGGACATTTGTTCATTAATTTTTAGACAGGGAAAGGGAAAGGGAGAGACAGAAACATTGATTGGTTGCCTCCTGCACACACCCCAGTTGGGGCCGGGGATTGAACCTGCAGCCGAGGTCTGTGCCCTTGACCAGAATCGAACCTGGGATCCTTCAGTCCACAGGCCAATGCTAAATCCACTGAGCCAAACCCGCTAGGGCTAGCAGTGGTGTTTACTTTATTTGCATGAATATTTTTTCAAATATATTTTATTGATTTTTTTTTTTTTTTACAGAGAGGAAGGGAGAGGGATAGAGAGCTAGAAACATCAATGAGGGAGAATCATCGATCAGCTGCCTCCTGCACAACCCCCCACTGGGGATGTGCCCGCAACCAAGGTACATGCCCTTGACCGGAATTGAACCTGGGACCTTTCAGTCAGCAGGCCAAGGCTCTATCCACTGAGCCAAACCGGTTTCGGCTATTTTCATGAATATTTTTAAACTTAAAAAAACAAAAAACATTTCCTTTGGTTTCAGAGAGGAAGGGAGAGACAGAAACATCAATGATGAGAGAGAATCACTGATTGTCTGCCTCCTGCATGCCCACCCCACCCCCCCTCACTGGGGATTGAGTTCACAACCCAGGCATGTACCCTTGAACTGGGGACCTTCAGTTCCACAGGCTGTCATTCTATCCACTGAGCCAAACCGGCCAGGGCTAGCAGTGGTTTTTAGTAATAAAGCGTGGTCCTCAGATCAGCATTACCTGGGAACTTATGAGAAATGCATATTCTCAGGCCCCATCTGAGACCCTCTGAAGAAGAAACTCGGGGTAGGATTCAGAACCTCATCTTATTAAGCTCCCCCTCTTCTCCCCCCGGCGCCCCCAGGTGATTCTGATGCTGCCGGAAGTCAGAGAACCATGCCCTCGGGCACCCCAGAGAGCTTTCTAAAACCCAGTTCTCATTACGCCACTCCCCCACTTAATGGACGGCTCCTCTCTGCCCTGAGGATCAAACTTCCCCCTTTGATTGGCAGAAAAGTCCATTTACAACCTTACAACTGGCGTACCCTATCTCTCCGGCTCTCTGCCACTCCCCACCGCCTGGCCACACTGAGCATCTCGATTCGTGCCCTCCTGCCCGGTCTCTCTCTTCTGGGCCTTGACACCTGCCGTGCCCTCCCCGTGGTGTGTGCTTCTCTCCATTTCAGCTGAGCCAGCTCCTGCTTTTCCTTCAAGGCTCAGTTGAAGAATCCTTCGTAGTTTTCCTTGACGCTAACATGTACACTTGAATACTTTATATATGGAAGGTTATGGGTTATTTATGCTAGGCACTGGGGAGATAGACGGGAATAAGGTTAGTCCTCACAATACACAGACAAATATATAATTACAGATGTTGTGGCAGTTGCAGTAATAAACATAGGAGTTGAAGGGTCATGAGGGAAGGCTTCCTGGAGGAGGTGATGCCCAAACTGTGTCCTAATGGATAAATGGAGGAACCTG